GCGTGTGCCGCTACCGCCCTGCAGAAGCGGCCGCGCCCGCCTCGCTCCCGCGCGGAGGGCCCCGCCCCCACCCCGGCCGAGCCGCAGGCCCCGAGTGAATGAACTTGATTTCGGGTATTTGGAGGGAGGCTGTTTGCCTTGCACCCTTTCTAGACGCGCGCACACACGCACACACACACACCGCCCCCCAAATTCCGGTTTTCGGCAAGGGGTGGGTGGGGAAGAGGTGGAAGCAAAGGCTGTCCAGACAATGGAGAGAGGAAAAGTGAGTGCCAGGCGCTCCGCGTCTACCTAGCTGGGGGCTGCCGGGGCCGCTGGGGCCGCGAAGGGGACTCGACTGCCCCAGCCCCAGGGCAGGGCCGCCCCGCTTCCAGCTGTGCTCTTGGGGTACTTTGAGGCTCTCGTCTGCTTCCCGTCTCCTCTTTCCCTCTTTTCCTCCCTCACGATTTCTTCCCCCAACTTTCTGCTCTCTCGGTCTCTCTCGCTTCTGCCCACCGTCCCCACTACCCCACCCCCCGGACCTGCAGGAACCAGTGACTTTTTCCTTCACCAAGTGGGAGTTATCCACATCAAGCATTTCACAACGACACATCAAGAAAAGTAGGCAGGTTCAAGTCAACCATGAAATGGTCACTTTTTAACCCCGTCCTGTCCTCATTAGGGAAATGCTCAAACACAGTCCGTTTTCAAAGAGCGCTCTTAATGAGGCGAGCTTGCCAAGTCTACCAGCCCCCGTGAACCAAGAGCCCAGAGAAGAAAGGCGCTGAGGGCTGGGGGGTTGAGGAGCCCGGGGAGAGGGGGGCGGTGGATCTGGGAAGACAGGTAAAGTCGGGGAAATTTCGAGAACTCCCCGCGTTAACCCTTTAGGGCACACACCCCTTGGAGCAGCCTTCCTGCTCCCCCGGAGGCAAATCCTCTAGTCGCGTTCTGACAACGTTAATTTCCTTTGTGTGGGTCATTTCTTCTTTGTGAAAAGCTAGGATAAAGTTGACAGTCTTTAGAGATGAAAGAAATGAGGTGACAGGCGGGGTTAATCCAGATAAACACTCATTTCTTTCTCAGAAAATTTTAGGCAATCTCATCTGAGATTAAAAAAAAAAAAAATCCCAAAGCATCACTTCGTACTGCACGTTACGCTGCATCGCTTTTCTCACCCTCAGACCAGAGTCTGAGGGGAGGGGGGCGGGGAAGCGCTACTGATAATACCAGCTTTAACTACTGGAGTTTCCCTTTGAACAAATATTCAATTTAACCAGAGTTAATTTACCATAAAAGACATTCCCCTTGGCACGAATGCACTCATGTCCTTGAACACACCTCTTTGAATGCCTGGACTCTTACAGAAGCCATTATTTCGGGGTCTCTTTAAAAATCGAGCGCCCATCTCTCTCTTTCTCTCCCTCCCTCCCTCCCTTCTTCCCTCCCTCCTCACCACACCACCCCCAGTGAAATCCTGGCACCTAGAGAGCACTCCTTTCAGCCAGAGATCCCAGAACCAGCCGCTGTCCCCTGGCAAAAGAGGCCCAGTGCTGAGCCCTGGGCAAGTGTCTGCAGACACCGCTACCCCTCCTCCCTCGTTAGTTTCCCTTACCAACAGAAACCATTCCCTTTTGCCACCCAAACTAGGTTGCATCCAAAAGTTTTCTCACAAGCTTAAACAAGAAAAACGAAAAATGGACAACTGGGACACAGAAGAGCCCACAAAAGCTGCAGCAGCACCAGGGGTTAGAAGCAGCGACAGACCCAGGTAAGACCCCAGAGAAGTGAAGACGGCTGGGGCCTCCCAGGCCCATCACTTAGGGGTTCAAATCTCTTTCAGGTGCTCCGTGTTTGTAGGGTGCTTGTGGGTGGGTATAGTTTGATGAGCATGGTGGATGCTTGGTAGTTTTGGGTTTTGATTTGTTTCCAAGAAAAAGGAAAATGAGAAAGGAATAATGGTGAGGTAGGGAAAACCAAAAGGGAGGAAAGAATGAGCAACAGAGACATCCTGGAAGGGCTTATTGGACTGTCCTCTCAGACCTTGGAGGCATGGGCAGGATGGCTGACACCCCCAAAACACTGCATCTTGTCCAGCCAATGCCAAGGTCACTGCAGGCCTTCCCAGGATGAACTCTAAGAGAACCTTTAGTAAAGAGAGACTGATGGATTTGGGTGTGGGGGACATCTGGCTTCTCTCAGACAACACTTGTCCACTATCTTTGGTTTGAGAAATACCAATCTTTTAAATCCCAGGTAGAAGAGTAGAGAGGAGGAAGTGAGACAGTATATACATTTTATTCACTTTCCCTTTTTTCCAGCATGTCTGTGCCATGGTATTAAGAGTGGTTTTAAAGTATCTCTGAAAAGCTTCTGATACTATCAAAATGGGCCAAACACTTGTTAAACTTTGTTACTTACCTCTCCTAAACTCATTTATTCTCTCTCTCACACACTGGTATGACAGGCCAATTTCATTCACCCCAAAATCTGGTTTGAGGAGCTAGAAAGAAGTGAAAAGCTCCCTCAGCAACAGGAAAATCTAATATTTCAGAATTCCTAAACAGCTCCTCCCTAGAGGGGAGTTATTCCCTGCCATCTTATAGGGAAAAAAGTTTCTTTTCTGACAGGTAGTTTGATTTCAAGATAGAACGCCAGTGCTTCAGGTGACTGCATTTTTCAAAACTCTATTGTATGTTTGAAAAATTAAGCAATGTTACCCAATTGGAGCCTTTCACTGACCCCCCCGAGAGGAGCTTGACATCTCAAGTATCTTCTGATATTGATTTTCTTTTAACCTTCTCCCTTCTAAAGAAACTCAGTGACAGGTTGCAAATCCTGGGCAGTGTAGGGAAAGGTTTCTTGGAGCTTAACAAAGCTGTCATTTTCAATACACCCGATGACTTTTTTTTTTTTTTTAGCTCTTGCATGTGATTTGAGGGGAGGCTCAACAATTCCACACACCCTGGCTGCATCGCCAATATCAATATTTTAAAACTAAATACAAAAGAGACAGATGACCTCCTGACCCCAGGAAACAGGCCTGCAAAACTGCAAGTATCCACACTACCATGCCCAGGGATCTTTCTTTTTTCCAAGTGAACCACAAAAATCATACATGTGTAGCCTGGAAAACACAATTTTATATCCACAAGCAGGAACACCAAAAATCCACTCAAAAACGCATATTTAAACAACCAACACGGTCTGAAATTGCCTGCACTTGATGGGAATTGCAAAATCATGCCCAGCTCTCTCAGCCTTTAAACTACTACTGTCAAATTAGGGTAGCAATTTTTCCCTACTAGAAATTTCACCACCGGTTAGCTTCCCCACCCCCTATTGCCAGCGCTCTGCTTTTCACTGAAACGAATAACCGTGGACTTTTTTTCCCTCCTCTGGGAGCTGTTTGGTGTCCCCTGAGGACAAAACTAAATGAGAAAAATGACGCTGTTAATAATGTGGCTGCTGAAATGCCTGTACTCGACTTAAAAAAAAAAATACCGTCCCACTAAGTATGCCTACATTTCGGGCACATTTACAGGCTCCCACTGAATCTGAACACCGACTGGGCTAGATTCCTCCATTAAGGTTAGCCAGTTTCCACTTCTCTAAAGAGATGAGGCCAGTTCATCGACAAAGATTCCCAACTTCTGAAGACATTTACTCCATGGATTACAAAGTCAGCAGTTGCCCTGTAGCTTTTGCATGATTTATTTTAAACTTTGAAAATCATGTAGTAATTGCCTTGCTTCCCTCACAATACTTCGCAAGTTACATCCACGATCACACACACTGTCTCATCTCTGCTGGTACTGAAAGAGTTGTGATTATTGTTCTTTTTGAAAATAGCTGACCTTTAAAGTAAAACTATACTATCATTTTATTTCTATGTGTAAATTGGCTTTTGTTACCATCTACATATGCCTTTGTGACATGAAAACAGATCGGTTTTAAAGAGATGTTTAGAAAGCTTTATCCCAAACGGCCAACTAGTCTTTACCTTTTGTATTAAGAAGCGCAGAAAGTGCATGCAAACCAACTCAAACTTTCTGCACCCCTTTCTCCAATTCTTCCCTTGAAAACTGCCATTCTATTTCAAAATCAAAACAATGCATAACAGAATTGTGCATTTTAACTTTCAAATTAAAATTTAGCAAACAATTGCATAATTACAAAGAGAAAAGACAGTTGGGCCTATACAAAATATATGTTCAGCAAACTTTCTGAAATGTATCTGAAATATTTCAACACAGTAAGTTAATAAAGTTCAAAGCAGTAATATTGTCCAATTGTGTGATGTCACATACTCCAAAAGCAAAGTTACTGATGTTCGTGACATCACATTCACTCATAATTATGCTGCCGCTCAGTCTGACCATATTAAAATTAAATGGATGCCTGTGTCTGCTAAGGAATAAAAGGAATTTATTTTAGACGTCAAACAATGAAACTGTCAACATTTATTGTATGAAACACTCAGCTAATCAATTTCCTATTAAAACAGCTTTCAACAATACTCAGCTTTAAAATTCACCCAGGCCAGTAAAAACCTTTTCCCAGTACACAAGAATGCAGTCCCGACCACGGACGATAATTACCCTTCTAATACTTTTATAGCCAAGCACTTTTTCCTGTGCTCCCCATCAGTTAGGCAGGAATCTGCAGCATATTGTACCAGGGAGTTGGAGCGCTTGACCTTTGGCCACATATGATTTAATAGGGACTTTTCAGCACTGGAGCTTGCTCCATCTCTCATGCCATTAAATGAAAACATCAAACCTCAAATGTAAAACTGGAAACCACAACGTTTTGTGTTTCACAACTCTTTGCAGTTTTTACTTAGGCTGCTTAAAGGTCAGCTTCTTCGCCTCACAATGCTCTTCCCCCATACAGTAAATGTACTCAAAAGTCACACTAATTCTGATTTTGATTAAATCTTGAACTCCCCAGGCAGATACACACATGCACCCTGCTTATTTACACGTGCATTCTTTTCTAACCACATAAGCATGCGTGTATGACTTTCTGGATTTATTCCATTTTAGGGCTGATTTAAATGTCTGTTCAAGTATAGGTTCAAAAGTTAACTTTTTCCCACCTGTTGGAAAGTTAAAATTACAAAAGATGGTGCTATAAGATCCGTTCAAAGAAAGTTAATCTTGTGTATTTTGGCGCCTTTTCCTTGCCAGCTACTGTACTTGGGGGGAGGGGTGGAACTTGGAGATCTTGTCTGTCCCGTCTCAAGTTCAACGGCAGTTCTTCTAACCCGAGGAGAAGATGGCCATGTTCACAGCCCTAATAATAATTCCAATCACGCCACATCGGCATCTCGTGTCAAAGTCGAAACTGGCTTCCCCGCCCCTTTCAACCTGAACGCTGCCAAGTCCTCACACACTCCGCATTCAACCACAACTTAATGGATGGGATATTGTGCATTAAAATGTGTCCCAGGCGTAGTGGAGAAGAGAGCACAAGGGAAAAGGGAGACAGACAGACGCACAGACAGACAGACAGACAGACAGACACACACACACACACACACACTGACTTAGGCAGAGGGGAAAAAAAATCCTAGGGCAAAAACAGCAGGGTGGGAAAAAAAAGTATTAACAGGAGCGGGAAGAAATCCATCATAATCTTTTTTTTTTTTAAGGGCGGGGGAGCAGGAGGAGGGCTAATAATTTGATCCTGCAACTTCAGGGACAAGGGGGTGAGGGGAACTAAACTTTGGAATGAAGATTGATTTTAAAAACTCCAACACACCAATCAGAGCTAAATAGTACTTCCCTCACTTAAAAAAATGCACTTTCAAATGAGAAGATGTAACAAAGCTGTGCATATTCACCTTTAAGTGAAGAAAGGAATGCTGCAAAAAGAGAGAACAGCGTACAACTAAAGTTTCAGTAATTTTTTCCACCATTGGGGGGTGGAGGAGATGTAGGGGGTTGAAGCAGGAAAAATGCTACATTTCGCACTGTTTGGACTCACTGTGTTGTCCATTGATTCCCGCCATAAAAGTGTGACACATATACTAAAATTACAAAGCTTAAAAAAACACATTTGCATTAGGTCTGGAAATCCAGCACTATAGTTCAACCTCTAAAGCAGAAATGACCTTTAAGTAAAACAGTCACTTTACAATGCACAAACAGGAAAAAAATCTGTGCCTGGGGTGGAAAGGGGTGCAAGGGACGAACAAGACAAGCAAATAAAACCCATCATTTCAAAGCCACATACCATTGCACTGTATTGCATTAAATAAGAGAGATCTTGAGTCTGTAACACAACCCTGGGCCGCTGACTTCACGTGTCTCAGGTACAGATTTGTGGATTTTCTCAAGGGCTGTTTTGGTGTCCCTTTTTGTGTTTAGTTTTTTTTTTTAAAAAAAAAAAGCAATCCAGGAGTAGTCTTTTATTTTTTTTCAACTATTATTTCTGTAATGCCACAATTCTTGGCCCGAGAAGAAAAGGCGGTAAAAGTCAAGTCTACAAGCAGGCGGCCCCTCTGTCTGGATATCCAGTTTTCCTTCTTCTCACTTGCAGAAGACTATTTCTTGTGGTTGACTGGAACGTCGTCCAGAGCGCTGTGTGTGTGCGTGTGTGTGCGTCCGTGTGTGTGTGTTTGGTGGGTTTTATTGTTGTTTTAGCAGGGCTGCTCTAGCGGTGGGGGCGGCCTCCCCGCCCGGGCTCGGGGCGCGCTCCGCAGATGCGGCCGCGGGGTCGCGCGCTCGCCCCTTCCCCGCCCTTG